GCATGGTCGGTGCCCGGCTGCCAGAGGGCGTCGCGCCCGGCCATGCGGTGCCAGCGGATCAGCACGTCCTGAATGGTGAAGGTCAGCGCATGGCCCATGTGCAGGCTGCCGGTGACGTTCGGCGGCGGCATCATGATGGTGTAGGGCTGGGCGTTGGACTCGACGTCGCTGGCGAAGGCCCCGCGCCGCTCCCACACGTCGTACTGCTTGGCCTCCACCTCGGCCGGGCGGAAGGTCTTGTCCAATTCGGCCATGTCTCGCCGTCTCCTGCTGCCTGCACCGCGCCGGCCCAGCCGGCGCGCGGCCTTCCATACAATCCGCGCCGCCGCGGCGCCACCCTCCCGAGGGGGAGGCTGGCCCGGCAGCGCGCGCTGAAAATCGCGGGATCGGCCCGGCACCGCCCCCTGGAGGACGGTCAAGCGGACGGACAGCGCGTCACGTCCGGCGCTGTCGGCCTGCCGCGCGGGCCGGCCAGAACCGGCCCGCCCTGACGGATGGCGCCGTCAGGGTGCGCGGGCGGCTCGGTTCGGGCTTCGATCGCAGATTATAGGATTAGAGGTCTTCAGCTCGCCGCGCCAAGCGGCGAACTTCCTCGCGCACCACGCGCTCGACGAGGGTCGGCAGGTTGGCGTCGAGCCAGGTCTTGAGGTGCTCGGCGATGGCGTCGCGCACCACCTGCTCCAGGGTGCGCTCGCCGCCCGGCAGGGACAGCGGCTGGGCGGTGTTGCTGCCCGGGCGCGAGACGCCCGACAGGGCCGCCAGGGTGGCCGCCTCCGTGGCCTCGGACACCAGGCGCTCGGCCTCGATCTCCTCGACGGTGGGGCGCTCGCTCATGCTCTCCTCCGCGGGTTCGGGCTCGGGCTCGGGCTCAGGCTCGGGGGGCGGCTGGTCGGCGGCGACCTCGGCCGCAGGCGTAGCCTCGTCCTCGCCGTAGAGCTCGAGGCCGCCTTCGCTCTCCGGCTCGGCCGGTGCCTCGACGGGGGCATCCTCCGGCCGGGGGCTGTCCCACTGGGGCGCCTCGGAGAGCGAGGCTTCGGCCAGGGCGTCCGC